ACATTGTAGGGTTTTAGTTTTCATAATTACACCAGATCAGAAATATCTACAATTGTTTTTGTTGGGAATTTTTTAATAAAAAAAATCATTACACTCTTCCAAGTTCATTTTTGTTATTTTTATCTTGGTTTTGAAAAATAATTTTACACTTTAGGAATTTAGTTTTCGTAGCTACACAAGTCAGAAATTTCGACAAGTTTTTTCTGTTAGACAAATGACATCTAGAGGGGGGTGAATAGATGCACAAATTAAAATAGATGTTAAATTAAAAATTTATGTGAGTCAATAATTTGTTTGAACACAGATAAAGCGGAAGCGATAATATAATCAAGAAAGGAGAAAGAGATAAGAGAAAGAGAAGGTCACACAGAGATTTATACTGGTTCGGGTATAACCAACCCTACATCCAGTTCCCAGTCAACTCTTAACACAAGAGTGACTCCCAATTAACTATATTTCAAATTCAGTTTACAAATTACAATCAACTCAGCAAAAGAACCAGTAAAAAGTGAACTAATTAAAAAGACAATCACCTCCTTAGAAATTCACTAAAGATGAACACCTCCCTAGAATCCCACTAGGGATAAACACCTCCTCTGAACAAATCAAAGGATGAAAAACACCTCCTTAGAATCCCACTAAGGATAAACACCTCCCTAGAATCACACTAGGGATGAAAACCTCCTTTGAACAAATCAAAGGATGAAAACTCCTCCTTAGAATCTCACTAAGGATGAACACCTCCCTAGAATCACACTAGGGATGAAAAACACCTCCTTTTCCACTAATGCAAAAAGGATGAAGGTAATAAAAATAAGAACAGTCACACTTGGGTCATAGAGACAACAAATTGTAGAAGCCTGTAGAATGCCAATCTCCAAGAACAGGTATGATTAACAATGAGAGCACAGAAAGCAGTAGAGAAGAGGGTTTTCTCAAAAAGTGTAAAATATCTATGTTGCCTTGCTCATAATTCTTTTCTCAAAACTGATTGAATGTAAATTGTATTTTCGAATTCTGTAATTGTGTATTGTTGATTTTTCATCAAAACTTAATTAAATAGAAAAATAACATCATAAAATGGTCGTTGGACATTAATATTTTTGTGAATAAAAATCGGGATATATTCAAAAATATTTATTCTTCAAAACATATATATTTTTCAAATTTGAATTGCCATAATTTATTATGTTACCAGTATAATCAATTATGATAGAGAAAATCATTTTTCCATTTCTGATGCATCATAATTGATTATGACAGTGAAAAATATCATGTTATGAATTTTATCACACTTGTGCTTTGGAGGCTTATGCATAATGTTACTTCATCAACTTGTACCTCCATATCCAGTATTCTAAGACTCTATCTAGTCTTTAGGAATCATCTTGGGCTTGCCTGAACCATCATCTTTATCAAAAACATATCTTGGGCATGTAGGGAAATGTTTCACATTGTCACCAACGTCATAAATTCAGCTTGTCCTTAATTCATCTTGAATGGTGTTGACTTGAATGTAGTTGACTTGAATCATCATCAAAATCATCTCTTGGGAATGTAGGGACATTTCCATCAATCTCCCCCTCATTGCTTTTAATCTCCCCCTTTTTGATGATGATCAAGGAAACACCTGAAATGAATTAAAATGTTTGACTCTATATAGCCAGCTTCAGATTAGCACAGATTTGTATCAAGTGTCAGAGTCTCTTAATCTCCCCCTGGATATATTAATAACAAGACTCCCCCTAACTCGTATGAGCAAAGACTTCTCTTAACTCCCCTTGTTTAATTTAGAGATAGGAAAGAATTTCACACATATCTTAATTCATCAAAAAATCTCCCCCTGTTTCATTGATAATCATAAAAAATATTATAAGAGAAAACAAAAATCTTCCCCTGTTTCACACAGATTAATATCATCAAAATATCTCCCTGTTTTATTGATAATTATGAAAAATATTATAAGAGAAAAAAAATCTCCCCCTGTTTCACACAGATTAATATCATCAAAATATCTCCCTGTTTCATTGATAATTATGAAAAATATTATAAGAGAAAAAAAATATCCCCTGTTTCACCTGATTAATATTATCAAAATATCTTCCTGTTTCATTGATAATTATGAAAAATATTTCATACTTTAGAATATATATATATATATATATATATATATATACTAAAATATAATTTATTTTTAAGTTGATAATTTTAATTTATGTAATATATATATATATATATATATAATTAATTTGAAGTTCATATATGTAATATATTTAATTTTATATGTAATTTTAATTTATGTAATATATATATATATATAATTTATATAATATATATATATATATATATATATATATATAATTTATTTAACATTAAAAATAGTTATATTTTTATTAATTTTATAATTATAAATTTTTTTAAGATTATAATTTTAAATATAATTTTTTTAAAATTTATATTTACATTTTATATAATATATATAATTCATAAATAATTATTTTTTTTAATTTTAATTTGATATATTTTTTTATTTATAATTATTTAATATATAATTGAAAAACTAATTGATTATTTAAAAATTAATCAATTATAATCAATTATTTAAAAAAAATAACCGATTCTCATTGAGTATGAAAAACTAATCGATTAACTTTTGAAATAATTGATTAGTTTTTCAACTAGTTAAAAAAAATATATTTTTATATAAATATAATATTATAATATTTTATTTAAAATTTATAATTTTAATTTATAGTTTTTAAAGATTTATATATTTATTAGATTAATAATATATTTAGATTTATTGTTGAAAGTAGTAAAATAATATTTTTAAAAGATATTATTAAATATTATATTTATATTTTATTTGTATGATTAATTTTTTTTAATTTTTTGATTTATTTGATATTGTTATATTTTTTTATAATTAATAATAAATTAAGAGGATAATAAAAAACTTAAAAGTTATATGTATATAAGATGAAATAATATTTTGATGTAAAATTATATTTTTGAAATGTATATTTTTTTTGTCTTGTAATATTTTGAAATATACATATATATATATATATATATATATATATATATTAGAAATGAAAATAAGTTATAGATAGGAAAACTAATATATTAATATTTTTGAAATCCTTAGTACATTACATAATAGCCCATACTGCACGAGGTTTAACTACCATCAATAACGTGTGCAGGCTTTAGTCATTGTCACAAAGTACATCAACTTTAATCGGAGGGTTGAAATTGAATCTGTGGATATTAACGTACATGATTTAGATCTACATTACACGTGGTCCGACAAGCTTTTATTAAGCGTGCAGGCTTTTAGTCTATATATTTTGAAAGGCAAAGTTCAATAACCACACTTACAGTTATCATAATCATATACTACAATTTTTACAAGAGTGTTAGTCAAGATTGAAGAGAGAAGGTTAACAAAATGTTGTTGTGGAGACAACAAGAACACAGAGTTGCCTACACTACTTTGATGGTATGTTAGTTCTATTGTTATTATTGTTTAAGTTATTTTTTTCTTATTAAACAATGTTATTTTTTGGCTATATAGGACGCAGAACAAAGTATTGTGTCGTCGTACTGTCATTCAATGCTGGAACCACATCCTCTTCTTCTTCTGGTAATAGAAGAAGCTGGATTAGGCAGTGTTGCTAAATTAAGACATTTAAAGGTAGATCATGCTTTAGTTACAGCTTTGGTGGAGAGGTGGAGGCCTGAGGCACATACTTTTCATCTGCCAACAGGAGAATGCACAATAACATTGCAAGATGTTTCACTTCAATTAGGGCTTAGAATTGATGGTCCACCTGTGATTGGACCAACGATGCTTGATTAGAAGGACATGTGTCATACGTTATTAGGTATTATCCCTACAAAGGGGGAGTCCCTGATAGGGTCTATGGTGAAGTTAAAGTGGCTTAAGGAAAATATGGTCTCACTACAAGAGGAATCAAATATACAGGAAATACATACCCATACAAGGGCATATATATTAGGATTAATTGGAGGGATTTTAATGCCTGATAAAACTGGTAATAAGGTACACTTAATGTACTTGAAATTTTTAAGTAATCTATACAGAACTCGATAGTTGGGGTTCTGCTTGTTTAGCTGTATTATACAGGGAGATGTGTAGAGCAACAGATCAGCGTGCGAAGACCATGGGTGGATGTGTGTCGTTATTACAGTCCTGGGCATGGTTTCGTATGCCCTTTATTGCACCAATTTCATGGACTCAATTGACGTTCCCCCTTGTATGCGGATGGAGCGGGGGTCGTGTACTGAACTATCAAAATGTTCCCCATAATGATTTACTTGGCTACCGATCAAGGATAGACCACATTGAACCTAACCAGGTTCACTTCTATTTTTAACTTCACTTTTTAATGTTCATAATTTACTAAGTTTCTCACTTTAGTATTGTTGACATAGTTTATATGGGTTTCGTATGAGGGATTGCAGTCAATCATTCCTGCCGAAGCATACAGGGACCAAGCATTGTGCACCTCTTGCACAAGTTTACTTTGTTTTTCAATTATTGAATGACACAAGTCAGACAGGGTGAAGTTACAATTTTGTCTAGTACAAGTTGTTCCTGACTCACCCAACAACCTTGATAATCTACATAAAGTAGACATGAGGGGGAGACAAGACGAGATATGGGCTACTAGACAAGCGAAATGGATAGACGTATGGAAGAACAGGTGCGATCTGACATTGATTGGATTACCACTTTTAGGGCCATTTTTCCATAGTAGTGAGTATATGTCGTGGTTTGTGGCAAACTCATTTTTGTATTTTTCCATTCCACAAATGTTACATGACCCGAGGATGCATCGGGCATCGACTTCAACACATGCAGAACCTCCTTAACATGATGACATTCATCAAAATTACAACACTCCAGAAACAGAAGGAACTATGGATGAAAGAAGACATTCAGTTTCTTCCTTCTCTGATTTAGGAATGTGAAGCATTTTTGGAGCGTATGCCCCAACTCCACCTTTGGCACAGGGTTTTGAAGGATCTTATCAACAATCCCCTTATAATATCCAATATCATAATGAAACGGTGTCATCCTCCGACACATATAAAACTCATGAAGATGTAGAGCATCATGAAGTCCAACCTTTAGAGGAAGAAGCACCTAGACCGCCCCAGGGAAGGAGGAACCCAACTAGGAACAAAAGGCGACCCCGATGTGGAACTGGACACCATTATGGGGATTAAATAAAAAACATTTAGTTTTAGTGTTTGAATTGTTCTTATTTAGCTACCTTATGTTGGGTTTGTAATATAAACTTTGCAAATGATGAATAAAAAACCTACAAATTCAAAAAAAATTGTATCTTAATAACTTACAAATACAATAAATTATTATCTTAATAAATTACACATTCAATTAAATTATTATCTTAATAACTTACACATTCAATAAACTATTACTATGCATTGACTCATTCACTCTCTCAATCAATGCTCTCACATGCACCAAGCCACTAAGACAATACCTATCAACTTTATTGGGTAGTCGTGCCAAGGGAGATATGAATTATTCCTAATGCAAAAGCTGGTGACTATTATTATGCATTGACTCATTTACTCTCAATCAATGCATTCACATGCACGATGTCACTAAGAGAAGAGATATCAACTTTATTTCGTAAGTGTGCCTATGAGGGAGATATGAATTATTCCTACTGCAAAAGCTGATGACTATTAACATGCATTAACTCATTCACTCTCTCAATCAATGCCCTCACATGTACCCCTGCCTCAACACAAGACCTATCACCTCTATTTTTTTTTTTGTATTTTGTAATATTTTGGAAGATATATATATATATATATATATATATATATATATATATATATATATATATATTTTTGCATAAATTAAAATAAAAATTATCAATTTTAAAAAAATTATATTTATAATTATATATATATATATATATATAATTAATTAATTTAAAGTTCATATATGTAATTTTAATTTATGTAATATATATATAATTATAATTTATATAATATATATAATTTATATAATATATATAATTTATAAATATTTATTTTATTTAATTTTAATTTAATATATATTTTTATTTGTAATTATTTAATGTATATTTGAAAATTTAAACGAATATAATCGATTATTTGAAAAAGTAATCGGTTGTTTGGAAATTTAGTTTTCGCAGTTACACCAATAAGAAATTTCTACTAGTTTTTTTTGTTAGGGAATATTTTTCTTAAAAATTTCTAGTGCACTATTCCAAACTCGTTTTTTTATTTTTTTCTAGTAGTTTTTAGTGATATTCGTACAATTTAGGAGTTTAGTTTTTTCATTTATACCGAGTCAAAAATTTTTACAATTTTTTGAGTTGGGGAATTTATTTAATAAAAATTTCTCTACACTTATTAAAGCTCTTCTTTCATTTTTCTAGTAGTTTCGGGTAATATTCTTACATTTTAGGAATTTAGTTTTCATAATTACACCGATCGAAATATCTACAACTTGTTTTTGTTGGGAATTTTTTAATAAAAAAATCATTACACTCTTCCAAGTTCATTTTTGTTATTTTTATCTTGGTTTTGACAAATAATTTTATACTTTAGGAATTTAGTTTTCGTAGCTACACAAGTCGAAATTTCAACAAGTTTTTTCGTTCGAAAATATTTTTATTAAATATTTTCAATGCACTCTTTCAAACTAGTTTTATTAATTTTTCTAGTGCACTCTTTCAAACTAATTTTGGAATTTAGGTTTTGTAGTTACACAAGTCAGAAATTTTTACAATATTTTATGTTGGGGAATTTATCGAATTAAAAATTCCTATACACTTATTAAAGCTCTTGTCTCATTTTTTTTAGTAATTTTGAGTAATATTCTTACATTTTAGAAACTTAGTTTTCACCGTTACACTAGTATGAAATTTATGCAATTTTTTTTGTTGGGAATTTCTTTGATAAAAATATTTACTACACTCTTTCAAGTTCATTTTTTCTTTCTAGTTATTTTGACTAATTTTTTTACACTTTTCGAATTTAGTTTTTGTAGTTACACCAGTAAGAAATTTCGACGGTAGTCTTTCAAGGTCATTTTTTTTATTTTCCTAATAGTTTTGAGTATTATTCTTACATTTTAGGAATTTAGTGTTCATTGTTACACCAGTCAAAAATTTCTATAATTTTTTTTGTTAGGGAATCTTTTTAATAAAAATTTTCAATGCAGTCTTCCAAGCTCTTTTTTATTCTTGTAGAAGTTTGGAATAATATTCTCACATTACACCAATCAGAAATGTCAACAACTTTTTTGTTGGGAATTTTTTTCAATGAAAAAAAAATTCACTGCATTCTTTCAAGTTAATTTTGTTTTATTTTTCTATTTTTTTTACTAGTAATTTTACATTTTAGGAATTTAGTTTTCACAGTTACACCAGTAAGAAATTTCTACTAGTTTTTTTCGTTCGAGAATATTTTTCTTAAAAATTTCTAGTGCACTATTCCAAACTTGTTTTTTTTTTCTAGTAGTTTTTAGTGATATTCTTACAATTTAGGAGTTTAGTTTTTGTATTTACACCAGTCAGAAATTTTATAATTTTTTGTGTTGGGGAATTTATTTAATAAAAATTTCTCTACACTTATTAAAGCTCTTGTTTCATTTTCCTAGTAGTTTTGGGTATTATTCTTACATTTTAGGAATTTAGTTTTCATAATTACACCAATCGAAATATCTACAATTGTTTTTGTTGGAAATTTTTTAATAAAAAAAATCATTGCACTCTTCCAATTTCATTTTTGTTATTTTTATCTTGGTTTTGACATATAATTTTACACTTTAGGAATTTAGTTTTCGTAGCTACACAAGTCGAAATTTCGACAAGTTTTTTTGTTCGAAAATATTTTAATTAAATATTTTCAATGCACTCTTTCGAACTCATTTTATTAATTTTTCTAGTGCACTCTTTCAAACTAATTTTGGAATTTAGGTTTTGTAGTTACATAAGTCAGAAATTGTTACAATTTTTTATGTTGGGGAATTTATCGAATTAAAAATTCCTATACACTTATTAAAGCTCTTGTTTCATTTTTTTAGTAGTTTTGAGTAATATTCTTACAGTTTAGAAACTTAGTTTTCATCGTTACACTAGTCAGAAATTTCTGCAATTTTTTTTGTTGGGAATTTCTTTGATAAAAATATTCACTACAGTCTTTCAAGCTCATTTTTTCTTTCTAGTTGTTTTGACTAATTTTTTTACACTTTCGGAATTTAGTTTTTGTAGTTACACACACCAGTAAGAAATTTCGATGGTAGTCTTTCAAGCTCATTTTTTTTATTTTCCTAATAGTTTTGAGTAATATTCTTACATTTTAGGAATTTAGTTTTCATTATTATACCAGTCAAAAAAATTTAAAATTTTTTTTGTTGGGGAATCCTTTTAATAAAAATTTCCAATGCAGTCTTCCAAACTCTTTTTTATTCTTGTAGAAGTTTAGAGTAATATTCTCACATTACACCAATCAGAAATGTCAATAATTTTTTTGTTGGGAATTTTTTCAATGAAAAAAATAATTCACTACACTCTTTCAGGTTAATTTTGTTTTATTTTTCTAGTTTTTTACTAGTAGTTTTATATTTTAGGAATTTAGTTTTCACAGTTACACCGAGTAAGAAATTTCTACTAGTTTTTTTTGTTAGGGAATATTTTTCTTAAAATTTCTAGTGCACTATTCCAAGCTCGTTTTTTTATTTTTTTTTTCTAGTACTTTTTAGTGATATTCTTACAATTTAGGAGTTTAGTTTTTGTATTTACACCAGTCAGAAATTTTACAATTTTTTGTGTTGGGGAATTTATTTAATAAAAAATTTTCTACACGTATTAAAGCTCTTGCTTCATTTTCCTAGTAGTTTTGGGTATTATTCTTACATTTTAGGAATTTAGTTTTCATAATTACACCAATCAGAAATATCTACAATTGTTTTTGTTGGAAATTGTTTAATAAAAAAAATCATTGCACTCTTCCAATTTCATTTTTGTTATTTTTATCTTGGTTTTGACATATAATTTTACACTTTAGGAATTTAGTTTTCGTAGCTACACAAGTCAGAAATTTCGACAAGTTTTTTTGTTCGGAAATATTTTATTTAAATATTTTCAATGCACTCTTTCAAACTCATTTTATTAATTTTTCTAGTGCACTCTTTCAAACTAATTTTGGAATTTAGGTTTTGTAGTTACACAAGTCAGAAATTGTTACAATTTTTTATGTTGGGGAATTTATCGAATTAAAAATTCCTATACACTTATTAAAGCTCTTGTTTCATTTTTTTAGTAGTTTGAGTAATATTCTTACAATTTAGAAACTTAGTTTTCATCGTTACACTAGTCGAAATTTCTGCAATTTTTTTTGTTGGGAATTTCTTTGATAAAAATATTCACTACACTCTTTCAAGCTCATTTTTTCTTTCTAGTTGTTTTGACTAATTTTTTTACACTTTCGGAATTTAGTTTTTGTAGTTACACCAAGTAAGAAATTTCGATGGTAGTCTTTCAAGCTCATTTTTTTTATTTTCCTAATAGTTTTGAGTAATATTCTTACATTTTAGGAATTTAGTTTTCATTATTATACCAGTCAAAAAATTTTATAATTTTTTTTGTTGGGGAATCCTTTTAATAAAAATTTCCAATGCAGTCTTCCAAACTCTTTTTTATTCTTGTAGAAGTTTAGAGTAATATTCTCACATTACACCAATCAGAAATGTCAATAATTTTTTTGTTGGGAATTTTTTCAATGAAAAAAAAATTCACTACACTCTTTCAGGTTAATTTTGTTTTATTTTTCTATTTTTTTACTAGTAATATTATATTTTAGGAATTTAGTTTTCGCAGTTACACCAGTAAGAAATTTCTACTAGTTTTTTTTTGTTAGGGAATATTTTTCTTAAAAATTTCTAGTGCACTATTCCAAGCTCGTTTTTTTATTTTTTTCTAGTACTTTTTAGTGATATTCTTACAATTTAGGAGTTTAATTTTTGTATTTACACCGATCGAAATTTTTAAAATTTTTTGTTGGGGAATTTATTTAATAAAAATTTCTCTACACTTATTAAAGCTCTTGTTTCATTTTTTTCTAGTAGTTTTGGGTAATATTCTTACATTTTAGGAATTTAGTTTTCATAATTACACCTATCGAAATATA